TACTTCGGAATAAATTTAACCAAAGAAGTAAAAGACCTGTACTCAGAAAATTATAAGACACTGAAGAAAGAAATAAAAGAAGATACAAATAAATGGAAACACCTACCATGCTCATGAATAGGAAGAATTAATATAGTTAAAATGTCCATACTGCCTAAAGCAATATATAGATTCAATGCAATTCCTATCAAATTACCAATGGCATTTTTCACAGAAACAGAAAATATAATCCTAAAATTTATATGGAACCATAAAAGACCCCAAATAGCCATGGCAATCCTGAGAAATAAGAACAAAGTAGGGGGTATCATGGTACCAGACATCAAAACATACTACAAGCCTACAGTAATCAAAACAGTATGGTACTGGCATAAAAACAGGTACATAGATCAATGGAACAGAATAGAGAGCCCAGAAATAAATCCATGTATATACGGACAGTTAGTCTATGACAATGGAAGCAAGAATTTACATTAGGGTAAAGATAGTCTATTTAATAAATGGTGCTGGGAAAATTGGACTGACACATGCAAAAAACTGGAACTGGACCACCTCCTTACACCATATACAAGAACAAATTCAAAATGGATTAAAGACTTAAACATAAGACCTGAAACCATAAAACTCCTGGAAGAAAATATAGGGAGTAAATTTGCAGACATTACCCTGAGCAATATTTTTACTGATACATCCCTGTGGGCAAGGGAAGTAAAAGAAAAAATGAACATATGGGATTACATCAAACTTAAAAGTTTTTTCACAGCAAAGGAAACCATCAATAAAACAAAAAGGAAGCCTACTGAATGAGAGAAGATACTCGCAAATGATACATCTGATAAGGGGTTAATATCCAGAATTTATAAAACACTCATACAACTTAGCACCAAAAAAACAACCCAATTTTAAAAATGGGTGGAGGACCAGAGTAGATAGATATGTCTCCAAAACGGACATACAGATGGCCAACAGACATATGAAAAGATGCTCAACATCACTAATCATCAGGAAATGCAAATGAAAACCACAGTATCGCTTCACACTTGTCAGAATGGCTATAATCAATAAATCAACAAGTAGCAAGTACTGGCAAGGATGTGGAGAAAAGGGAACCCTAGTGCACTGTTGGTGGGATTGTAAATTGGTACAGCCTCTATGGAAAACAGTGTGGAGATTCCTCAAAAAATGAAAAATAGAGCTGCCATATGATCCAGCAATTGCACTTCTGGGTATTTACCCAACAAAAACAAAAACACTAATTCGAAAACATATATGCACCCCTATGTTCACTGCAGCATTACTAATAATAGCCAAGATATGGAAGCAACCTAGGTGTCTATCAATAATTGAATGGATAAAGAAAATGTGGTACATATATACAATGGAATATTATTCAGCCATAAAAAATAATGAAATCTTGCCATTTGTGACAACATGGATGGACCTATAAGGTATTATGATAAGTGAAATAAGTTAGACAAATAAAGACAAATACCATATGCTTTTGCTTATATGTGGGATCTAAAAAACAAAAAACAAAAAAAAAATATACAAAACCAAACAGAAACAGACCCATAGATACGTATAGTGAACAAATAGATAGCTGCCAAAGGAGAAGAGGGTGGAGAGGGGGCAGAAAAATTTAAATAAATACATAAATAAATAAATAAATAAATAAATAAATAAATAAAAAGAAAGCTTAGCCCCTCAGTTTTTTTATCATTCCAAATAAAAATAAATAAAAAACAAAAAATACAGATAATGTAAAGAACATTAAAGGTTTCCATTCATTTTATTCTCTGGAAATAACTATCTTCAACATTTTAGTAAATCTCTTTCCATAATTTTCAATGCAAATGTTAAACATATAAACTTTTTTCTTCTGCATAAATGGGATCTATGTGTACTGCACTCTCTTCTGCGGCCTGCTTCCCTTTTCACTGAATATCATCATCTTTTGATGTCAATTAATAAAGATCAACCTAATATCTTCTGATGACTGCAGTCATTGTAGGAAATGTACCATAATTTATTGAACCAATCTACTGAAAGACACTTAGATGGTTTCCAATTTTATGTCATTATAAACAATGCATTAAAATATCCCCATATATTTATGTTCGCATACTTGTCCTATTAGCTCCTTAAGGTATATTATCATGTGCTGGATCAAAGGAAATGTGCATTTTAAATTTTAATAACTATTGACAAATTCACTTCCAAAAGAATCCATCAATTTACACTCCAATCAAAAACATTGCCTTCCACCTCATCAGCACCAGACATTATTCTTTTTTATATTTTCAGTCTGATAGGGAAAAAAAGTCTTTTGCTGTTATTTCTATTTCTTTACTATTGAGTTGAACATTCGTATTTCACCCTATGTACATTGTGCTTCGTGTTACTATGATTCACACATACCGTGTTTTTAACAAAGGCTTGTGGCAACCTACATCGAGCAAGTCTATCCTATTTTTCCAACAGGCTCAGATGATGGTTGGCATTTTTTAGCAATAAAGTATAACTATTCGTATTGCAGGACATTGCTCATTTACCATGTTAAAATGTATTAGAAATGTTTGCACATCTTGCGGAACACTCGCAAACCAAGTTACTTGCAATCCAAGGTTTTACTGTATTTTCTAATTAAGGTGTGTACATTGTCTTTTTTAGACATAATGGTATTGCACACTTAGACTACAGTGTAAACATAACTTTTATATGCACTGGGAAACCAAAAAATTTGTGTAACTTGCTTTATTGTGATATTCATTTTATTGCAGTGGTCTGAAACCCAACCTGCAATATCTCCAAGGTATGCCTTTATATAGATTTAAATTTTCATAATCTGTCAAATTTTTCCTTTGTGACTTCTGGGTTTAATAAAAGAACTCTCTCTTCCCATAATTAAAGATTATCATTAAATTATTTTCTGAATTTTCTTCTGGTATATTGGGTTTTATTTCCTATATTTAAATATTTAATTTAACTCAAATGTATTTTTGTTTATGGTGGGTTTAGCTTTACTTTCCAAATGTATTTACCGACAAGACTTAATAATCTACCTTTCTCCACTGATTAAAAATGCCATCTGTATAATAAAATAAATTTTTATTCTGTTTTATCAATCTTTCTGGCCCTTCCTCCACTACCTTAATTTATTTTAGGAACTGTATCATGACATATTTAACCAACCCTCTATTCATCTCATATGTGTTTCTCTTACATATTTCCACTTATATCCTTTTCACAACAAATCATTAGCAATTTTTCATATTTATTCTTCCAGACGTAACTTTTTTTTTTCAAATTTCCACAGAGATGGAACGTCTTCACCGAAATATTGTGTGGATCAAATAAGCTCAAGCAGAGATTCTCAACCCTGGCTGCACATTAGAATCACCTGGGGGACTTTGAAACATACCAATATGAGGGTCCTACCCCCACAGACTCAGATTACATTGCTCAGGGGTGTGGTCCAGACACCAGAAGTCCTCTGGAGGATTCCAGTGTGCTTCCAAGATTGAGAACCACAGAGCTATCGTGTGTGAAAGAACTCTGAAAAGATGCCCTGTGCTCCCATGCCCTGGCCAGGCACTGCTGTCTCATTGGCACACTCACTCACCGTCACGGTCTGCTTCTCCATGTGGATGGTGGGGTCGCCCGTTCGGAGGAACAGGATAGCCTCGCTGGATACTGTGACTCGGATACAGTCTCTGTAATCCTGGAGGGGAAAGGGGTGGGTCAAAAGAAGCAGCTGAAGCCCCTCTGAGCCTCCTCCTGACCCTAAGCACCCCCGCCCCAAGGCACCCTCCCACCACACAGCATCCTTAAGCAACACCCAAAGGATACAACAGGCAGGCCTCCCCACATACAAATGTACATCATTCATTCATTTGTGTATCAGGTCCTGTGCTGGATGCTGGGGACAGCAGAGACAATGGAGGTTACATTCTAGGTCAGATCTGTGGGCTAAATCTGGTCTGCCACCTGCTTTTGTAAATAAAGTATTTTTGGCACAGCCACACCCATTCATTTAGGTACAGTATATGACAGCTTTGTGCTACAATGGCAGAGCTGCATAGTTGCAACAGAAACTGTATGGCCCACAAAGCTGAAAAGATTTATAATCTAGTCATTTACAGAAAATGTTTGGTCTAGGTGGCGTGAGAAGGCTGGCACGTGAGTAACTGCAGCCTAGAGTGGAGCGCGGAGCTTCTGAGAAGGTTCCGTGACTGTCCAGAGGAGAGGTCACTTTCACTTGCAAAAGACCTCACTGGCGGTGAAGCATCTGAGGAAGACCCTGGAGGCTGAATAGTTTACATGGAGAGATAACAGAGGGTGAGCTGGAGAGATAATGGGGCAGGAAGGGGCGGTGGGGGGAACGTCTGGCAAAGGCATGGAGGTGGGAAAGTCATAGACACATGACAACAATGGACGTATGAGAGAAGGTCATTTTGGCTGGAGACAAACATGTCCACACAGAGGCATACAAACTAACACTGACATGGCACACAGTGACAGGTGTACAACCTGTCATGCATGAAACATGCTGCTGTCATCAACTCACGCACACACATGCACGCACACACGCATGAGGCCTTGCTGTAACCCTGGCCTTACCCTCTCCCTGTTGTTTTCCCCACCCAGGTGGGTGGCAATGGAGACCTCCAGACCCAGGCACTGACCTCGATGAAGGTGCTGTTCCACACTCGAGCCTGCACTGTCACGTTGGTGATGATGGGGGCATCAGGAATGGGGCACTCCAGCCACACACAGCGGATGCGTTCATCGCCACAGTGCTGAGGTGGGCAGGGAACGCAGGACACAAGACAGTCTAAGTCTCCAAATTCTTCATGCTTCACCCCTTACCTTCAACTCCTCCCCCTGGCTGACTCAAAGGGGCCCAACCTCATCCCTTCACTCAGGTACACTCTCCCCACCCCGACTCTTACATGTTTTAGGCACATTCTTTGGGTCAAGCACATACAGATGCTGGGAAGTGGATAACACGAAATCTGATCCCTGCTCATAGAAATGGGGCCTGATACCCAACATCGCCCTCCCAGTCCCCTCCCACACTGAGCCTTCGCTCATGCCAGCTCCCTCCACCTGGGACACCACTTCCTACCTCTCCACCCAGCTCGGCCTTAACCTGCTTCCCAAATCTCTTCCTCTCTCCCTTCAGACAGTGGGCACCCTGCCCCACCTTTGTCCTGCCTCCTCCTCATTCCCCAGCCTTAATGGTCAAGGCTTTGAGGAGCTGTATCACCCCTAACAGGATGGGCCCCTGGGAAAAGAGCCAGTGTCTCTTCCTTTGGTCCACTGTATTGGCTGCTCCCCAAGGGCAAGGGCAGTGGGATGCCCTCTGAGGGCAGAAGAGGAGTCTGCCTCCTCTGACTGGGGGCTCCTGAGGGCAACATCACCTCATCAGATTGGGGTCTCCTGGTGAGTGGCACCTCTCCCCCTTGCTCTGTGCTTCCCCTGGGTGTGTGGGCACAATCCTGTCCAGCCCTGCCCCGGCCACTCACCAGATCAATGTGAGACTTGGTTTTTTTGGCAGCAGCCAGAGTGACAGGTGCGGGGTCCCGGCCTCCCCCTGGGTCCAGCTGTCGTCGCCTGCGCTGTGGAGGTCTGTCCCCAGGGACCTGAAGAGGGAAGAGGAGATTGACTTGGAGGAAGAAATGGGCGCAGAGGTGAGGAGAGGAATAGAGGGCAGGGGGAGAGGCAGGCTCCTCAAGGGGTGTAAGGGGAGGGAAGGGAAGACACTGGCCTTCCTGCCCTGCAGCATGCAAATGAGAAGCAAATGAAAGATCCCTGTGGTGTCCTTACTGATAGAGTGAGGTTGAGAGGGTTGACAAGGTCTCCGGGTGGCCGGCAGGGCCAGGACCCATTGCCGTGGATGGTGATCTCCGTGGGGTACAGCAGCCACTTGCCATTGATGACTTCATAGGGCCACTTCAGCCCTAGGACCAGGGTCCCCAGGGCTGCCAGCCCTTCTCCCATTGGGCTCACCTGCGAGCACAAAGGGTGTCATGACCACTGTCTCCTGGAAAACTACTCCATTTCATCAGCCCCCAGACCTTACATCCTGGGAACCCAGACCCAGAAAGAAGTGACCCATCACCCTTCCCAGTGGTCTGTATCCCAGGGTTCCAGAGGTCCCCTTACCCGGAACTCATACTTGAGAGGGCTTCCTACGTCCTCCACAGTTTTCATGCCAGACTCTCCCATCACTGTTCCCCCAAAGTAGCTTTGTAGCCGGGGACTCACCCTGGAGGTAGAAAGATGCTGGAGTCTTAGGGGACAGGACGGGCCCTGACAGAAGGGGTGGGTTAATGACAGCTCCTCTGACATCAGGCAGACTTGAGATAGATTCCAGCTCTGCCATAACTGTGTGGCCTCAAGCAAGTTATTTATTCTTTCTGAGCCTCAGTTTCCTCATATGTAGATTCCTCCACTGCTGCCTGCTTTGCAGGGGGAATAACAACAATAATGATAGTGATTGTTGTTGTTAAGGGGTCGGATGACCCAAGGGAAGTGGAGACCTAAGGATATCAGGCCAAGAGAAGTTTGTCAAAGAAGCTTGGGAGACACCTTGGGGACAGGAAGGCCCTAGCTCAAGCACAGCACGCTGGAAGGGGGGAGGGCGGGGATTAGTACCCACAGGCTGAGTGAGGCCTGGAGCGTGTAGTTCACCAGCAGAGTCAGGTTCCTGGGAAACAGGTTGTCCTGATGACTTGACCTGGAAAGGCAGTGCAGGGAATAGGGTAAGAAGGTGTGTCGGCTGGGGCTGGGGCTGGGGCTGGGGCTGGGGCTAGGGCTGGGGTAGGCCCCTGGACACCTTAACCCCGACATAGACTGGCTTTGCATGGTCACTCACGTGGAGAGCTGCAGCTGCGCCTCGAGTTTCTTTGTGTGCAGGGTCACCCCATTGACCTCAAAGGCAATGAGCAGCTCCATCTGCCATGAGGGTCAGGGAGGCAGAGAGCGGGATTTAGGGAGAGGCAGGGGTAGGGGTAGGGAGAAGGGCTGGATCCTATGCTAGGGAGTTGGTTCTCTGGTCTCCTCCTCTCCCCATTCTGGGCAAGGGGTCTCCACCTCCCCCCACGTCTCTACTCTTTCATCTTCCCCGCCTCATCTTTTCTTCCCCTTTCCCCTTCTCTGTCAGTGACATCTCTGCTACTTTTGAGCTACATTACCTTAAGCAAGTTACTGAAACTTTCTAAGCCTGTATCTCATTTATGTAAAACAGCATCTATTGGGTTGTCAGAAAAGTCATGATGTATTTTTTTCTCTGTTTTTCGTTGCAAAAATGCGTCATGACTTTTCGGACAACCCTACCTCAGAAGGTTGTGAGGATTACATCATATAAAAGAAGCAAAGTGTTGGGCGTGGGGCCTGGCACAGAGTAGATGCTCAGCAAAATTGGTTTCCTCAGCTCACCTGCTCTCGCTTTGTGCATAGCTCCACAGTGGCCCCATTTGTTTCAGTCTCTGGATCTCTCCCCACCCCTTACTTTATTTCCTCCTCCCCCACTCTGGCTCTGCTTCATAGAAGGTGGGAGGCAGGCAGGCAGAAGCAAGAAGAATAAGGAGCTCATCGGAGGAGCAGCCTGGGAGGTGTGGCCAGCACTTACCCTCTGGTTCCGTTTGAAGGGGTTCCCCAGCTCACAAAGGATGGTCTTGTTGGCCTGGCAGGCCCCAGTCTGAAGAAAGAAGACAGTTAGGTCCCGGTGGTCAGAGTAAGGCTTGTCCCGTACCCTCCCCTGTGGCACTGGGTCTGAAGCCCTAGAGGCTTGAGAACCAGGTTCCCCTAAAACAGATGCTGTAGGCACCTGGGGAGGTCCAGCCCAGAGGAGAGAGGACACATGACAAATGACAAAACATGTAAATGACATGCATGTAAGGATGCAAATACATGGTGGAGCCCTGGTTGGGCACTCACAGGGCGCACTGAGGACAGCAGCAGGCCCGGAGTCACTGTCAGGGTAAGCAGTGCCTCGTGGGCGTCTTCCCCAGTGCGCTCACGGCTCGGGTTGTTGGTCACGTTGATGCTCAGGAGCAATTTCCGGCCGTCTTTGCTATAGTGGAGCCTGAGGATGGAGAAGCCCAGTACTGAGCACAAAGCCCTGCCCCGGGCCCACCCCAGATCAATTAGCCCCACCCATTCTCAGTACAGCCGGGCCCGCCCTCTAGTCTCACCTGGAGAAGAAAGCCTCTTTTGTAGCCAGTGAAAGTCAGCTTCACACATCCTACCTGGCCGATTAAAGTCCAACCTTTCTCAGACTCGCCTATTCCTGAGGCCCCGCCCCTGGCCAGTGAGGCCCCATTCAGATTTTACCCTGTCTCTGATCTCCCACACCATTAAGTCCCACCCCTCAATTCTCGCTAGCCAATGAAGGCCACCCCACCCTTGGCCAATCGGCGCATCCCAGAGCTCACGTGTTCATGGGCCTCCCCTGCTCTGACACGAAGGCCGCTTCCATATCCAAGTTGCTGTCGCACTTGTTGTCCTGCCCGCACTCCTTCTGGAACTGGACCTGGAGGTGGCCTGAGACGTGAAGGTCCTCCAACCACCCACAGAACCCTCTCCTCTTACAGCCCTCCCGGCCCCGCCCTTGCGGCCCCGGCCCCACCCACCTCAGTGTAGTTTTCCAGAGCCTGTGCCTGGTTGAGGACCGGGTAGGCGTCCAGGGACCGCAGCCCCAGACGGGGGCGCTCGGGCATTCGCAAAGGTAAAGAGTAGTTCATGGAGATTACGATGGGACGGAGTTTGTCACGAACATTGTCCTGTGAAGGAGGGTGAGCTGAGCCCAACTCTGCACTGCCTTCCCTACTGAGTTGAATCCTCACACCACCCTGACCCCCCAGGGAGAAGCTTAGGCCTCCTCCACCCTGGATACCCCCCAGTAAGGCTGAGGTCCAATCACCAAATTGACCCCCTTCCTCCCACCTTGATCCACAATTGAGGAGGTGGGGCTCATCGTCCCCAGAGATCCCTCTGGGGAGGTTTGAGCCTCCCTTCACCCTCAAGATCCCCAAGATGAGCTCTCCCTTCCACCCTGATGTCCCAGAGAGCGGCTGAGCTTGGTCCCCACTCACGGATCCCTTTCCCCAGAGCTGAGCTGAGCCAAGAGTCTCACACCCCTGACTCTTCTCAGAGGTGAGGGGCCTTTGGTCCCACCCCCACTACGAGTCTCTGTCTTCCCTCTACCACGTGCTGGGTGCTATGCACTGTACACCCTGAAGACCTATGGCCTTCCAGGCACACCTCCCCCACCTCTGTCTCTAGAGAGACCCCAGTCCCTCACCCTTGACCTGGAAGGATGCTGACTACTTCCTCAAGGGATGTGGAGCCCATGCCCCTTCCCCGGCCCCTCCCTCACCATCAGAAGCAGCTCCATCGTCTGGCAGCGTGTCTCCGGCATGGAGAAGTAGCCATGGAAGACAGCTGACTGGCTCTGCACAAAGCGAAGGCGGGGAGGGCGGCGGTCTCGGTCAGCCTCCAATGTATAGGCTAGGGCTGCAGGTGGAGGATGGGGCAGTCAGCAGGTGATCAGGTGAGCATGGCTCACCTCACCCTGTACCCCAGCACTCACTGATGTTTCGCCTGTAGTTGGGGTTCCCGGCACTCTGGTTGTAAGCAAAGCACAGCTCCACCTGCACACTGTTGGGGGGGGGATGTACAGGAGGGCCTGGTCATGGTGGGACTCAGATATCCAAGTCCTAGCTCTCACCCCCTTTACTGGGCAAGGGGAAATGAAACGGGACCCTTCAGGGGAAAGGCAGGGGCAAAACTGGGGAGTCCACAGAACTGGTCTGGGGTGTTCCTGGCTCCTTCCATCCTTACTCCCGTTAGAGCCATAGAAAACAGGGATAGAGGTCACCAATGGGGAAACTGAGGCCTGAGAGCAGAAGGAGTTGCCTGAAGTCATTAGTCAATGTGGCCCAGCCAGTCTTGTGCAGGACCCCCAGTACAGGTCTCTTTCCATCACCCACCCCCATGTTTCCCTGCTCTGTTTCTCTCTGCCTTCTGATCCAATATCCTCATTCACAGAAAGACCTTGGAGCAGCGGTTCTCAACCTTCCTAATGCCGTGACCCCTTAATACAGTTCCTCATGTTGTGGTGACCCCCAACCATAAAATTATTTTCATTGCTACTCTATAACTGTAATTTTGCTACTGTTATGAATCATAATGTAAATATCTTTTTGTTTTCCGATGGTCTTAGGTGACCCCTGTGAAAGGGTCGTTCGACCCCCAAAGGGGTTGTGACCCACAGGTTGAGAACCGCTGCCTTGGAGTCATCACTTATCATGGTCGCCATCTTAACAACTGACAATTTTGAGCACTTAGGGTATACAGGATTCCATGCTAAGGGCTTTTTTTACATTATCTCATTTAATTATCACAACCCTGTGAATTGGTTATTATTATTAACTTTGTTTTATAGGCAGGAATGAGACTCAGAGAGAGTAATAATGTGCTCTAGGTGGCTCCTTCTTGTCCCCTACATCCATCCACCTAAGTGTCTCCCTCATCCTCTGGGATTTCACTCCCCAGAGCCCACCCTTCCCACTGTAGTGGGCACAGCTGGGATTTGAAGCAGGTGATCCAGCGCTTCCACTCCTAACCACCATTACTGCCCCCCCCCGCCCCAGTTCATCCATTATTTTCTACAAGAAATTTTGCTTTTTAATGAAGCTGGGTAGGGAGGGCCATGTTATCCCAAGAATCAACCCTCTAATAATGGTGGGATATCAGGAGTTGCCAGGGGAGGGGTTTGGGAGCCAGGGCCCCTCCTGGCCTGCCAATACATAAGGAGGAATGCTTGGGCAGAGTAGGGGCTGAGAGTCTCACCAAGAGATGTTTGTGCAGAGCGCGGGGTCCAGCACGGATGGCCTGGCTACCAAGGTCCTATGAAGGATATTGATGACAGGCCGGGCCCTGCATAGAAAACACATAGACATCTGTGCCTCCTGCTGCCGCAGGCCAGCCCAGGCCAGGGTTCAGCCTTGTGTGGACCTGGCACAGAGGGTGGACAGAGACAGGGCTCCAAGCAGACAGGGTTGGAGGAAAAAATGGCCCCTGTCCATAGCTGGTTGCCTTGGCTCACCGCAGAAGCACGATGCGGTCTGAGAGGCTCCCTACTAGCAGGTCCGGATAGAAGTTCTCATCCACATCCATCCGTCCACTCAGGGAGTAGCCGAAGGTGGCCAAGCCAGGTAGTCCCAGTTTCTCTCCATGGATTACCTGGGGGCAAGGGAAGCAGTGGGGACAAGCTCCAGAGTAGGCTCTGGGGAGTGGGGCCCAGGAACAATAGGGAAGGGGTGGATAAGCAAACGGGTAGGCCCCCTCCGTCCCTGTCCATCCATACCTGCTGGGGCTGTTGGAGGAGCCCCCGGGAGCTGCTATGGTAGATGTACACTGTGCCCGAGCCCTCAAACGGAGCTCCCACAGCAATGTCTGGGAAAGAGAGGCAAAATGGGGTCACCCCCGGGGACTATGGGCCCCATATCTCCCCAACCCTGTGTTCCAGTCACAGAGCCCAGCTGGGCCTTAACCTCACCCTGCCAGGCAGTACTCAGACCATCAAGGAACAGAGCTCTGCAGCTTAGGATGAAAACGGGGACCATCGTGCACTCCATTGCCTCCTTTTATAGGTGGGAAAGTAGGTCCAAGAGAGGGAAGTGACTAATCCAGTCACAAAGCAAGTTAAGGTCTCGAGCAGGCCCACATTCCAGATTCCCGACCACTGGCTGGTGTTTACTTTCCCTTATTACAGCGCCTTCCATGCCCCCTACCAACCTCCCTTCCACACACCTGTTTCTTCTAATGTCATTTACCAGCAGGGTTACAAAAGCAGGTAGTTATCTTTGCCAGGTAGTTATCAAATACTGCTGTTTAATCCTTACAAGAGTGCTGGTGGTAGGTACTACTGTCCCCACTTTATAGATGAGGAAACAGACTCAGAAAACCCGAAGTCACACAGCTAATGAGTAGAGAAGAGGATAGTAGAGCCCCTGTCTGTCTAACACGGAGGAGCTGGGATTTTAATCACAACACTGTAGTGAACTTTACTTGTAAATATCCAGACTTTTAAAACTCTAACCATTATTTCCACTAATAAATCTAAAATGTTTTAGCTTCTTAAACTCTACTGACCTCTTAGTGTGCTGCTTTTGATCTGATAAGGCCTAAGTAACCAAAATGCCAAGCTGGTTAGAAAAGTATGTAGTGGAAGGAGTAGATCCTGAGTGGAAACTGGATGCTTCCTGTATTAGTAAGTGCTTGGGCTTCGTTAACTGAACTTTCTAGCACCTATTTGGGCTTTTTAGAGGCTCCTTTAGGTTTTTAGCTATGTTCTGGGAAACTGAGGATGCCGGAGAAGCGACTTCTTGATAAACCAGGTGCTCCCATGGCAAGCAGGCTCAACCCCTTGTTCTGTCCTTCTCCCTGACACCCCAGGTCTGATTGGTCCCCAAATGCTGCAGAGTTCTGGTGACATCCTCTGTATCTGGGGCTTCCACCTTGTCCCTGCTCCTTGCCCACCTCATCCACTACATTCTTGATCTTAACGCCCCAGCCTTGTTTCCCCCCATCCATTCCCACATCTCCCACCAGAATGATCTTTCAAGGCACCCAAGTACCAAGCTATCACATCCCGCTCCCAAACCTTCTCTGGACACCCCCCTACCGTTACCCAAATATAAAGCCCCAGTTCCTCTGCCTGGCTTTCAAAGCATCCACCTCACCCCCACACTACCTCTCCAGCCTCATCTCTGACATGAACACCCACACCCGCTAGATTTGGGCACGTTCGGTGAGCATCCCACACTCATGTTGCACTCCTGCTCCCCTCCGTTGTGCACACTCAGCCCAGCCTTCAATGCCCAGTGGTACATCCACTCCTCGCCTCTGCTGGTCCCTCTGCAGATCCTCTCTCTAGTACTGCTGTGAGCTCCCCAGGCCTGGGCCCCATCCCCTCTCCTCTTCAGGCCCTGTCAAGCCTGGTATGCAGCTGGCACTCAGTCAGTGGGGGTGCTGGGGTGGGAGTGCTGGCTCATACCCTGGAATCCGTCCTGATTGATGTCACCAATGCTGGCCACCGAGAAGCCAAAGGCAGAGCGACTGGGGCCGTGAAGAAGGAGGGATGGGTGGGCAGGGAAGGAGGTGCCTGCCTGGTTCATGAAAACATAGATGGCACCCCCTACTTCCTCTTTCCGCTTAAAGTAGTAGGGGGCACCCACCAGAAGGTCCTGCCACCTGTACAGGAAGGAAGAGAGGGGAAATGGGAGGGTGAGGTCAGCCCCCAATATGCAGCATAACTCTTATTTAGAAGGCACAATTGTCCCAGGACACATGGTTGTACAAATGGCACCTCTGGCCATAGGTCATGGGAAAGACATGGGAATGCCAACATGACACATCTAATAGAAAACACGGGTGGAGAACCCATGCACAGATCACACTCACACAGCCCACATCCACTAGCAGCGGTTCTCAACCTGTGGGTCGCGACCCCTTTGGGGTTCGAACGACCCTTTCACAGGGGTCGCCTAAGACCATCAGAAAACAAAAAGATATTTACATTACGATTCATAACAGTAGCAAAATTACAGTTATAGAGTAGCAACGAAAATAATTTTATGATTGGGGGTCACCACAACACGAGGAACTGTATTAAGGGGTCGCAGCATTAGGAAGGTTGAGAACCGGTGCACTAGAGCCATACAAATGACAGGCATAGACAAGGAACTGCAGGTGTCATGCAAATACCCCAAATCCAATAACTTGATTGCAAATCAACAGGCAAAATTGACTTGTAAATCCCTGCAAACAGCATGCAAACAAATGCACAATTGCAAGCCTCCATTTCTCACCTTGGCAAGCCCACCCCCCTCACAGTTCTCCCTGGCCCCAGAGAATGTCCCTGGATTCTCACCCATCATTGTTCAGGTCTGCCAGAGCAATGGCGCTGCCAAAATAGGCGCCCACCTGCGTGCCCTCCAGCACCTGCTTCCTCCGCAGGTCTCCGCCTACCTCCTGGCTCAGCAAGAAGACAGCACCCATATGTCGGTGCCTCGGGGCACCCGTCACAATGGTGATGTTCTTGGGGTGTAGGATGGCGCTGCCCACCTGCATTGTGTACCCTGAGATGGGGAGGTAAGGGGGTCAATGAAGGTCCTAGTAAACTTTGTCCCCTTCTACTCTGGACCCACCCCTGAGATACCTCCCCATTATCTTCTATTCTTCTAAGTTGGGCAAGAAAGTGGACGCTGGATGTCCAACCCCGAGTCCTGCCTGCACTCTGGACTGTGAGCTCCATGAGGGTGGGGCCTCTATCTTGAGTACACAGAGGTGGTGCTCAATAAGTGCTACTTGAACTAAAAGCCACTAGTCACACCTGTACCCTGGCCTCACTCTTTCAGCTGAAGGTGAGAGGACCGGCATGCCAGGGACTGAGCCACCCCCTCCCTGTTCCACCCATTGGGCCACCACAACTGGACTCACCAATATAGAGGTTTCCTTGGTTCTCCGGGTCCTTGTAACTGTATTCAGAATAATCCCAGTCCTTCCGCTGAATCATGTAGCTGTTTCCTTCACAAGGATTTGGGGAGGGGGAACATAAGTCACTATTCCTTTCTTCCACTATGTCCAGGCCCCCTCCCCAGGGAAGGATAATAATAACCTTTTTTAATATTTGTGAGCACTCTGCCATGGGCAAATCACTTCCCCTTTATTTTAACAATTCTGTGAGGTAGAATGATGACCCCCATTCTGCAGATGAGAAAAGTGAGGCTCAGGATGGGGAGCTAGTTGTAGAATTCATGGCTGGAATCTGGTCATCCAGGCACCTTGGTACTAGGTGACATTTCCCCCTCTCTAGATATTGAGGCCAGACCCCACACCATTATCTCCTCCCAGTCCTGCCCCCAAACTTGGGCTGCCTACCTGGGCCCTGCTTCCCGGGGCTGCTGCTGGAGAGTACCTGCGGCCCTGTCAAGGTTCTAAAGGACCAGGGGCTGGGAGGCAGGACACAGGAGCAAGCAGAGGCCTCAGCCTCAGGTGAGCCCAGAGCTGTGTCTACACCCAGGGCTACCTGTTAGTCAAGAGGACAAGATTCTGGGCTCCCTCTGCCAGTTGATTCTGCAACAACTGGGTGGAATAAGGGGCCAGGGGATCGCTGTTGCTACAACCTGCGTTGTGGAGAGGCAGAGATGGAGGGGGTGTGGGCCATCAAGCGGTGTGTGGCATGGTAGTTACACGCATGAGTCTTCACACAAGGAAATACTCTGCAGATCCCAAAAGACTGCCCCATATGAACTGACACGGAAAACTGCCCCGTTTCTTTGTAAGTGAAAAGAGAAAGTAGCAGAATGGCGTGCTTAGTGTGATTCTGTTTGGGCGTGTGTATGTGTTAAAGATACCTATAAATTCTAAAATACTAAGTCTGGAGGATCCATAAGATACTGGGTAGTAAACACCGGGCAACGGGCCGAGGGGCATAGGTAGGAGAGGAGGGGCGCTTTTACTCTTTATTTTACCAAATCCTACTGTAGCATTTAGTAGTCGGACCAGGAGCATGGTTCACTCTTTGAGGTTTTTTTTTTAGCTGAGCCATCCTGCTACCTGTTGGCAGCTCAGCGGCTGCTCAGCTCGGGCTGGACTCGAACCGCTGTTGCTCAGAGCTCAAACTCTTGAGCGAGCTCTTAACCAACTGAGCCACTCGGCCGGCCCTTCACTCTTTGAGTTTTTAAATGGTTAAACTGGAGTCAGATGGACCTGCATTCTAAGGCAGGTTTCATAACTTGCTGTGAGTTTGGGCAATTCGCTTCACTTCTCTGAGCTCAGTTTTCTGTAGAATGGGTACAATAATACCTGCCTCATAGAATACTTTAAGGTGAATTAAGATAACATGTGTAAAGCCTCTGGCACACGGTAAGTGCTTGAAAATAGTAGAGGTTGTGGTGGCTGCTAATATTGGCCAAGGGGTCCTGTCTCTTCTGCCTTCTAGTGTGGAGGCTCTCGGCTGGCTGTCCCAGTGGCTAACTAGGGTGGGTGGTCTCTCTGCTCCTCCTCTTCCCCCACGGTCCCCACCTTTCCAGTTGTAGGCACCAGGAGCGCCAAAGTACACAGTGTTCTGGGTAAAACCACCGCTGGTGCCCAGCTGACACATGCCCGTCTCCAGGTAGTCAGTGTTGCTGTTGCACATCTCGTTGTGGTAGGTCTGCCACTCATCATGGCGGTCCAGCTGTAGGTCATTGCCCCGCACGTAGCACTTGCCTACCATACGCCGCTGGTCCTCTGACCCCGACCACAGCACCTGGGTATAGCGGTGGGCACAGACCTGGGGGCCCCACCCCGACACACAGCCTGAGTCCACAGCAGGGACCCAGGGACCAGCTGTCTCCTTGGCCCTGTGCACCTCTGGCTTTGTGGGAGCGGAGCTGAAAGGGGCCTCCTGGCTTTTCTTTCTTCCCACAGTGATGCCTGGCCTTACACCTCCTTCCCAGAATTCAGAAATCTGTTCTGAAGGTCGGACACTCTTTTTGGAAGGCCAGAAGTTACTGGATTTGAGAGTGGCTCAGAGAGCTTGGCAAAAGGAAGAGGGGAAAGGAGGAGGGAATGTGGGGTTCAGGCTGTTGGGCCTAAAAGGAGCTAGATACTGAGCAGATTAAGGAACTTGCTTCTCTGCTGACCCCAGATGACCTTGCCCTCTTAACAAAAAGATCGCTATTAAAATAATATCACAACAACAATAATAGCAGCAGCTAACGCTTACTGAGTGCTTACTATATGCCGGACACAATGCTAAGCTCTCCATATATTAACTCTTTTAAGCCTCCTAATAACCCTATGGAGTAGGGACAATTATTTTCCCCATTTTAGATAGGGAAACTGAGGTACAGGGAATAAGTCTCTGCCTAAGATCTCACATCAAGGGAGGCAGAGAATGTTCAGACTAAGGCGGTCCTAGTCTGAAGTCTGAGCTGTGAAGCACAAGGCTGTGCCGCCTCTCTCGGAACTTCTCCCGGCACACTAGAGGTGCTCGATAAATAGTTATTGGGCAAATCAATCAAAATAGGGCATTTGTAAAACAGCCAGGGGCCAGGCAAAACCCAGAACCAGGCCTAGTTCTTGTTGACTTGCCTTTTGTGTCCCTTCCAGGTGTGAGCTTCACGTGCACGGGGCCAAGCCTGACCTGAGTCACCGCTAAGTTCCTAGTGCTGGCACAGTGCCTGGCACACAGTAGGTGCTCACTAAAAACTTGTGGAATGAACAGATGGGTGAGCAGACAATGCTGAAGGGCCCAGGACCTAGAACCACTTTCAATGGGTCCTAGACCCACACCATCCGTAACAGAGGTCTAGAAACGGTATTTCAGCTAACTGACGCAAACTCAGAGCTTAAAATACTGTTCAAAGGTGACAAATCACAACAATGCTGGCGATGGGGTGACGATTGGAAGGGGCACACTTTCTGGAGTGATGTAAATATGTTATTTCTTTAACGAGTGTTGGTTACACGGGTATATAATTGGTCAAAACTCATTGACACATTTCAGTGTACATAAATTTTACATCAATTTAAAAAATCTCTTTTAAATCGTCTATCTGGGACTCAGAAATTGAGACCCCAGGGATTGGCACTGAAAAATGTGGGCAGGAGGTGACAACTGACAGCAGGGAGTGGCCCCAAGCCTGATCCGGGTGAGCTGGAGTTAGCACGGCTATGCCTGTTGTGCCAGCCAGCCTTCCAGGAAGGAGAAAGACCAGGCCACAGGACCCTGAGGCCCTGTCTGCCCTTTCCGCCTCGAGATTCCCTCAGCTGGTTCCCATGAAGGGTGAGCATAGTGGGGGTGGGGGTGGGGTGAGCAGGGAGGAAGTGGGCGATTCAGATAGGACCCAGGACATGCTGGGCCTTGGGAAAGTGCCAGACACTGCCCCCGCACCCCCCCTCCCATATATGAAGGCTTGAAGGACACACATGCCCAAGGGACACAGACAGCCATAGAAATGTACATTTGCAAGATCCCAACTCATGCACCAATGACCCCTCTGCCCTCTGCTTTCCTCCCCAGCCCCTGGGAGATGAAGGGGAGGGCTGGAAGGGACAGGGAGTCACTGACTGTGAGTGCCCACTTACCAGGACTCTGCCTGCAGGGCCCTGGCTGGCCACAGTCACCCCCAGCCACATGTCCTCAATTATGTGATAGTCAGGATCACCTGTGAACATGGAAGGGCACATGAACCAGAGCACCCCATCCTCCCAGTGCCCAGAGCCTCCAGAGGGCAGGGGTTGGTCCCTCTTGGATCCTTCACTCCAGCAGTGCCACTCTCCCTATGCCCCTTCTCCAGCCCATCAATAGTCTGAGCTCCACAAATCCCATGTGGTCCCACCCTCCTCTAGGATTCCCTCTTCCCAGCTGGACAAGAAGTGACTAGAAACTGCCCTGGTGAGCCTTCTATCTCCTCCAGGTCATTTCTCTCTATGCTATCCCCTCCACCAGGCTCCTGACCTGGTACTGATCCCTAGCCCCTTCCCCTCACTTTTCTCTGTGATGTCCATCCGCTCACAGTCGTCCTTGTGGGCAGTGAGTGGGCACAGGTACACAGCACCGGTCCGGTTGGTATAGCCATCAGGCACAGCAAGGTCCCGGGGGGCACCAGCCAGAAGCCTGGGGGGTAAGGAGGTAGGGGGCCTGGGCTCAGACTCCCCAAAGCCTGCTTCAAACCATTTGCCTTTACTGAGCATCTGCTCTGTGCCAGGCTCTGTGCCAGGCTCTGGGGTCGGGAGATGAATGGACCCAGCCCCTGCCCTCCAGGAGCGCCCATTGTAGGGGAAGGCAGTCAAGGAAGCAGACACCTGCAGTCAATGCCTCATGAGAGGGAAGCAGGGAGCAAATCCACTCAGATTCTGCATGGGGGGCAGTCAGGGAGGCTCACGGAAGAGGGGACCTGGTCTGAGTCTCAGGATGATGACCAGGTTCACCAAGTGACGAAGGGGCGGAAGGGCACGTCAGAAACAAATACATGTGCCAGGGCCAGGAAGCATGAGCAAGCAGGGTGACTCAGGGATCCGCAGGGCCCTGGTACAGCCGGAATCCAGAAACATGGGGAGAGGCAAGAAGGCAGGGTAGGAAGGGCGCCGGGGAAGCCGTGGAGGGATCTTAAGCAAGGGAGTGTGACATGGTCAGATCTGGGTTTTGGAAGGAATGCTTTGGCCTCTGGGATAAAGATAGACCTGAAGAGAGCAAGACTGGAGGAATCCTGGCACAGGGTTCAACTTCCAGAGGGCCTGCGGGGAGAATGTGTGAGGGGTAGAGTGGGGTCGGTTGTTGGGAGCCTAGGTCCTTCCTCTCTAAGCCATCTGAGGACTTAGATGTAGGAGATATGGGCCCCCAAGTGGTATGGGTGATGTTTATCCCTACTGCCACCTTAAGACAGGCACACGAGTATTGGGTGGGACTGGGTACCTGACATTTTGGACATTGTAGCCCCAGGGCAGTTTTCTTGCAAGGTGAGTGTGCGACTGGGGATGGGTGAGGACTAGCACCTTGCCCGCAGCCTGCCCATCTTTAGGGACGCTGACTACAAGTTCATACAAGGATGCTTAGGACCCAGGCAACCCATCCCATACCAAAAAGGTGACTAGAGGACAGGAAGGCAGGGGATCAGCCTTAAAGTAATACTTCAAAAGACAGTCCTTGGACCACCAGCATCAGAAATCCCTGGGATATATGTTAAAAAGGCAAATTCCTTGGCCCATCACAAACCATCTGAATAGAATCTGGGGGGGTGAAGCCCTGGAACCTGCATATTTAACATGCATCCCCAATATTGTGCACCCCAGTTTAAGAACCCACTCTACCACCCCTTTCTCTCCCAGCATCACCTCTCTGCAGCCTCCTTTGTCTTGATGGACCTAGCCTTCTGGGTGGCAGGCACCTCCTAGGAACCCCTCCACCTGGCCCCAGCAATACTATCACCCTGAGGCTCCCAGCTCAGTTGGGCTCTGGGCCTCCTGCCAGAGTCTGAAAGTGCCGAGCTACGCCCTGCCTGGAGCTCCTGCCTGGTACCTGTGAGTGAGGGTTGCAGGGAGTGGGCAGGGCAGGGCCTGGGCATGCCTGGGCCTGGGTACCTCCGCCCACTGGGTGTCAGGAATGCACTGCCTGGGGGTGCTGGGAAGGGGGCGGGACCTCTGACTGCACTTCACATCTCAGCTCAGCCCTTACCCCGGGGAAGTGTTCCTGGGGACAGGTGTGCAGCTTCTCTAAGCAGAGCAGTGCTGGGCAGGAAGGCTGGCAGGGGGCCAGTGTGGCAGCCAGGCCAGTCAGTCACCCTCTGTCTGGGCTGGGGAGGGTGCCTGGTGAGTCCGCTGCCTGACCACCCATGACATCATCCCTGGGGTGCCTGACAGGTGAGAGAGTGAAGCCACAGCCCGTGGGACATGAACATCTCAGCCTAGGAGCCTAAGGGCCTAGTTGTAGGGTTGTTCTGCCTCAAGGGGCAATTTCCTTTCCTTCTCTGAGCCCTGAGTGCCTCATCTGTAAAATAGGGACAAGCAGCTGTCCCGCCAACCTCAAGGACTGTTGGGGGAACAAATGGGTTCTTTCTTCAAAAGGGCTTCCTGACTATGAAGCCACGGCCGACATGAGCACTGTCATGTGGATTCTTGTGGCACCAGGACTAGGACTGGCCCTAGCACATCCTTAGGCCTCCCTCTAGGCATCCAGGAACTTCTGTCCCACCAGGTTAGGGAACCTGGAACAGAGGGCAAATAGCAAAATAGTCCGGTTTTTTAGACGGAGCAGAGCACGGGACGTGGTAGTACTTCCATGGCCTAAGGAGACCAGGCAATCACTAAGGTGGGGGTGGGGTCCTGGTAACTAGAGTCATTTCTAGAATAGGAGCTTAGATTTGGCTGGAGGTGGAGGCTGGGGGTTGGCTACCACGACCTTGAAGGGGTGGGTCCAGGCCTCGGTGGGCGAGGGTCCCTGGGAAGCCCAGGTTGCATCCCAGGGCGTGCCATGCAATGACAGTGTTGCTGCCCCGGCCAAGGTGTCTGAGGGGGTGGGCTGAGGGACCCCTCCTCTTAGCCTTCTGGGGAACGGAGCAGACAGAGCTGGGCATGAATGGCGATTAGGTTGAAATAAATCCCCTTACCATCTATACCCTCCCAGCCCTCGCCCCACGCCAGGCTTGTACCAACTGATGGTGGGAGGGGCAGGGCCAGTGCCCTCATCCCAGGCCCACATCCCAGGCCCCTCCCTCCCCACAGATTCCACTGGAAGCCCCCACCCCCACCCCCCTGGAGTATTTTTAGTTCTAACTTGGCCTGCTCAGAGGCCCTTTAAGGCCCTCTGGCTCCAGGCCCGGGATCCAATGGGTCTACAGCCAGAGGACTTCGAGTGGATGGGGGAAGGCGGGTGTTCAGAGGGTCAGGTCCAGCTGCCTCCAGCCACAGCCAGGTATAGGAGAATCCAGAGGGTGGGAGAGGCCTCATTGATATGCAAAGGTAAAGCAAATTAGTATGCACATGAGCACTCTGCTGCCTGTTGTTGGGTCTGGTCCAGATCAGAGAGCCCGAAAGCTGACCCCTTTTAGACCACCACTGAGCCCACCCTCCCAGCAGCAGTCAGAAAGGAGGAGGTTAGATGGGCGGCTTTGCCCAGCTTTTGATGCAAGGAATAAGGGAGATCAAACCAAACCTCTCCTGTAGTCAGGCTGGCTGGGGTGGGTGGGCATGGAGACGCTCTGGGAGGCAGGGGGATGGGTAAAATGACTTCTTAAGGGCTTTCAAACAGCTGCCTCTTCACCTTCACCTTTGGCTCCAGCCAGACAGCCCCACCTGGCCTCTGGGGAGCCCACTGAGCTCCAAGTTCTGGGAAAGCCCTTCCTCACCCCTGCCCCATCATTCTTCCCTGGGCAGTTCAAAGCTAATGGAACAGCCAAATAGAAAGCAGTAGAATTGGAGGAGCTGGGGAATAGGGCCCAGGGGTGTTAGGGTACTAGGTTAGCTCCCCCAAAGAGAAGGCCCCCTGGGGGCACTGGGGTGGGGTGATGCTCAGAGAAACAGCCTTAAAAGTCAACCTCCCAGACTCCTCACCTCAGGGGGGCACTGGGGTGCCTCCAATGAGATTTCAGTTCATCTGGAGGGGGCCAAAGGGTCCAGCGCTCAGGCCTGGGGCCCCCCTGACTGTTTCTCAGGGTTCCCTTCTACCTCAGGCCAGGAAGCAGGTGGGAGGGGGGCAGTTCTCAGATGCCTGGATCCCAGCTCCGTGCCAACCCTGCTGCCCGAATTAGCCATCTCCCCAGAGGCTGCTCCTGTGGTAGCTGAAACTGCAGCTCTCTCTGTCCTCCCCCGACTTCTCTTTATGATGCCCACCCAGCCCCCTCTCCCCCCTGGTGACTCAGCCCTGGAACCAGAGCAACAAGCTGGAGGAAGCGATAGAATGAGAGAGGACGGGAGAAAGAGGCCTTGGCCCAAGCCTCCAATAAAAGAGAACAAGGCTGTTTTTCTCATTTCTTCTCCCTCTCCCTTGCTCCTTGGTATTTTTTCCATATTTGATCCCTTAGGGCATTCTTCATGTCATCTAACCTCAATTCCTCTTGCTGCAACGGACATCCTCTTCCTCCTTTGTTTAGCTCGGACCAAGCCCCTTTCACTGCTTTTTCTACAAGATCAGGCTTCCACTGCCTCCCGCCCAGTTTAAAGCTCCTTGGTCTGGGCTGGTCATTGGCGAGAGCCAGAGGAAAAGGACACACACATGCAGGCCTTCTGCCTGCAGCCACATCTACTATGCCCATTTCCTTTGGCATGAGCCTTGGAGGCTGCCAGGCGTCTGCTCTGCCCAGAGAAACATATTTTAGGAGAGCACAGCAGGTAATCCTGGTTCCTGCCTCCCTCAGGTATGACCTCATCTTCCAGGAGCCACAGCTACCCCTGTCCCAGGCTTCCCAGAAACCCTCATTGCCAGGCAAAGGCAAAAGGGAGAGAGAGAGCCCCAGAGGTACCTCCCATTGCCCACAAGGTCAGGCGAGACCAGGACACCTGGATTCCCGGGAGCAGGTGCTGGGGGTGCGCAGGGTCAGTGACCATCTCCCAGAGGAATCATCCCCCTGCTTCTCCAGGGGTCCTCATGCATCTCACCAAGAAGCCCAAAGCACCTTGGTCCGCTGCCCTGCTCCTCACCTCTCATGTCCAGAGACTGAGAAATTGGGGCCTGGGTTAGGGTGAGCCTCCAATGTTGTGGGCAGGGAACAGCAGTCCACAGATGGAGATGATAGGGAACAAAGAGGGTCCACACCTGGGTTTTTAACCATTTCTGGAATAAGGCCTTCTTGGAGAATATGATGAAAAAGCTATGCTCTCCCCTCCTCCTGCGCCCCACCCCCCCCGCCCCCAGAACAATGCACAAACACATATGATTTTACATATACTTTCAGGGCTCCCTGCACCTGCGGAAAACCTCCTATGAAACCCAGGCTAAAAATTTGTTCAGGACCATGAGCTCTCCCCCTTTTCCAAAGGGACTTTGAGGCTAACAGAATATAAGATCAAACTTGAGTTGCTGGTTCCCCCGAGCTGTGCACTCAGGCAGCTGTTCACATCTGGCTACACAGCTGACTGCAGCTAAGCCCAGCTGGGCCAGCTGGCTTTCCCAAAGGGCCAAAAGGCAGAATTCAGTGAGATGAGGTGATGAGCCATGATCTAGAACCACCCCTGGGAAAGACTGAAGATGCCCAAGACAGTGACCCTGAACTCTATCTGGAATGACCTGCTTCTCTGAGGTTTATTCGTTTTAGGACATGCTGGGTTCTTGGGAGTCCTAATATCATCTCTAGCCGCCCAGGAAGAAAAGTAGAACACCTCTGCTCAGCCATCTTGGGTGAGGCCCATGGGTAGTGAAGGTGCATCCAGGTCCTGCTTCAGCACAAGAGCCCTCGGCTGCGCCTTGGCACATGCAGAGCATTTTACACACGTTATCTCATTAAATCCCCCCTATCACCCCATGAAAAAGGTGTGTTGTTCCCCTTCCCCTGACATGTGAGGAAATTAAGGCTAAGGTATTATTGACAGATCCAAGACAGGAAATAGGCAATGGAGCTCTGGAGCGGCTTCTCTCTCCACAATGCCAAGCTGCCTCTTATAGGGCAACATAGGCAGGAAGGAGCATACAGATGCAGGTCCAATCCCTCTCTGGGTAAAACTGGCCCAGATAAGGGATATACCTTGTTCAAGGTCACAGAGCAAAGGGGGATGGTGGTGTTGCAGAATCCTCTATGGACTCCAGCTTTCCATTATTTCCTCTTGCTTTTCTGATCTTCTCTTTATACTATGTTACCTTATGTCATGCAGATTCAGCATGGAAAATCTGAAAATCTTTTTCTGGGTGGGGGCAGAAAGAGCACCAATAGAGAAACTTGTGTGGATGGTCACTTTGGGCCTCCAAAAGGTGGAGGGTTGGCCAAGGCCAGACCGCAGCTGCTGGGGCCGGGCTGGGAAGGGTGTGGTGGCCCTATGCTCTGCAGAAGCTAGATGGAATTGAGGCCAAATTCAGGTAGGTAGACTGGGCAGGGGCTGGGCAGGGGTCAAGACTGGGGCAGAGTTTGGACTTCGGACATTCCAAGTTTCCTCAAGTTTCTGCAGGCCCCAGCCAGAGTAGGAAGAGCTTTTAACACACCCTTTTTCTAACCATGTCGTCTTGCTCAGCGGGGTCAGACACCAGGAGGGGGCAGATGTCTGGTAGGTCACCCAGCCCGAAGTGACAGGGCCTGCCTGACCTGTCCTAAACACTGTCCCTCCTGGGGCAGCCTCACCTCCCAGAGCTGTCCTCTTTCCCAACTGCTGACCTCAGCATACTGAGTCCATGACAGAGAGAGAGAAACATCTGAAACCTGGACATGCCCCTCTGGGCATGAGTGTGTATGGCTGGAATGGGGGTGGGGGCCCAAGCACCTGGGTGCAATCTCCTTCTCTCTCTCCCCTATGCCTAGTGTTTCCCCCTCCTTCTTGCAGCTGTTGGGGAGGGAGACCAGAAGAAAGAGAAAAACACCATTTCCCTCTTCAAACCAAACAAACACACTCAGGGTTGAAGATTCAACATGAATCTGTGGAATGCAGGCAAGATGTGTGGTGGGAGGGCGCCGCTGCTGGGTTGGGGTGGGGGACAGGAGACCAAGCATGATTTGGGACAGCACCCCCTCTTTCTTCTACTCCCCCAACCTCCAGGGCTCAGAGGGAGCACCTGAACAGCTCCAAATGCAGAGACTCTCCCATCACATCACCCCAACCACCAAGTCACCCCAACCGCCAAGGGCTGGTTGAGAAGTCCTCCAGTCTGGCTCTGCAGAGGGTGTGGTTGGCGTGGCCGCAGACTAAATGCGAGGTGTAAAGAAAGCGGGCTTAAGTGCATGTGCCCATAGGTTCTTCCCAAAAAAATGGTGAAGGGGAATCCATTAGGTGTTTATCTTGCAGTTTTCCCAGGCTCCCAGCCCTGGAGAGAAGAGGCATGCAGTATATTTATTAGGTACTCAATTCACAGAATGGAAGGGAGCTCAGGAAACGGGGACCCCCACTTCTGCTCTCCAGAGAGATTTAAAGAGCTGAGGGACTGTGTCTAGACAGGTTCTGGCTGGGTCAGCACTTGACAATGATTACTGACCCCCATTCCATGCCCAATCCGTCCACTTCCCGCCAAGCCTCAGCAGCAGGAGGGCTGCCCAGGTCCCCGCCCCTTTAATCTTCGCTTACAGGAGCAGGCAGCCCACAGGCCTGGAAGCCAGAGCGGGCCAAGACTTGGACTCAGCCCCGGATCCGCACCCTGCACACACATTCTCTTTCTCCCACCCCACCCCCGCCAGCCTCACTTACAGGTAGCGCTGCTGCCGCTCCGTCTGCCGGTGGAGGGCGACCGAGTAGCCGAAGAGGCTGCCCGGGTTCCCGGCCTCTTTCACCACCAGGAATCGGGTGTCAAGGTTGAAGGCGGAGGCGACGCGGCCGCCGGCGGCCACCATCAAGGCGAGCGCGCAGAGCATCGGGCGCTGAACGCGCGTGGCGCGGCGCGAGCCGGGGCCCATGGCTGCGAGCGGGAGCGAGGGCCGGGCTGAGAGAGCGTGAGGGCGTGGAGCTGGGGGTGAGAACCTGTTCACCTGCTCCCTGCGCCACTGGAAAACACTCCAGCCGGCCGCGTAATTGAGCCCCGCTGCGCAGATCGGCTTCTGGTCCCCAGCCTTGGTCAGTTTCGCGTCCTCTCAAGGTCTGCGCTCTGAGATTCCCCTCGGAGGTCCGCGGCTCTATTCTCCCGCCTGCCCAGAGTCGGGTCACCGCCCCCCCCACACCCCCGGCACCCTACCCCCAGTTCTTCACGGCCGCGCCCCCTTGGCCTCACTGTAGCCTTCGACTCAGGCTGGGCGGCGGATCTAGGTTGGCAGACTGGTCGACAGCAAGGAGGACCAGAGGGAAGGAGGGTTACCCGCCTCCCCCACGCCCGCTCGCGCGCCCCGCCTCCCCACGCCCAGCCCTGCACCTCCCCACCTTGCGCGTCCAGTCCCGGCTCCGCTCTCCTTCCGGGGAAAGAGAAAAGGTCCCGATTCGGCCGCCGCCTCTTAAAGGGGCAGCACTGCCCCTCCCTCATCCTCCCCAAACAGGCCCCGCCCTCTCCCCCAAACACCTGTCGGGAGCCCCCAAAGGCTTGGATTTCCCCTCCCCGCCCCTTGCTTTTCAAGAGAAGCGTCGCCTCCGGAGCAAGATGCATTGGACGGGCGGGGCCGGGGGTGGGATTTGTCCCGCCGGTTGACTGCGGCTGCTACTGCTGCTGGAAAGGCTGTTCCAGGCGCGGCCACCTCTGCTGTCCCGGCTGGAGAGCTCCAGCGTTGGCGCATCTAGGAAACGACCCCCGCGCGACGCTGGCTGGAATGCTCCCCTCGCCTCCGCTGCGCTACGAGTCCCTGAGTGGCGGCTGGCAGTCTCTGGGCGTTCTTCCTCGCAACCAGCCCCTTTGCTGTCCTCGTCGAGCTTTTTTTCTCATGCCCACCCGTCCCCAACCACTCTGATCCCAGCTGGGAATGGTCCCTCAGCAAAGCCAGACAGGTATTTAGCAGTCATAAATAAACAAGCATCCCCAATTGTAATTAGGAACAACACAGCGTTTTCTCCAAAGGGCTGCGCCTTCTGATCTCTCTTGTAAGCCCGTGGATGTGGAAATGAGTCCCTGCTCCTAAAAGTGCCCCTCCGTGGCCAGGGAGCTGGGCCCAGATTGCACCCAATTTCTCATCCACTCCTGCCTCCAGGGACTAGCACAGCAGAATCCCAAAGGTCCCCTGAGCTCCCACCCAGCCTCAGACTGAGTGTTTGGAGACTGAGCAGCAACATCAGCCCCCGCAGGTGTGTAAGTGGGTGGTGCCAGTTGGAGGTAGGTGGGTGAGGCCTAAAGGTTTGCTATCCGCAGAAGAATCAACTGAAAGGGAACTTCAAGAGGTCGTTATGTAGTTTCTTGGGTCTAACTCAGATTTCCCTGTATTGCAGCGCAAAGACCGGTTTCCCCTGACCATTCTTTTACTCCAGGGTAAAGGAACTTTCCAGGAGTTCAGCCCTCAGCCCTCACTCCCTTGAAGTTCAATTTAGAACCCCTATGTCTTGAGAGTTAATAATAAGACCCATATAGTAGTACTTATGCAGCACGAACTATGCTAAGTGCTTTACAAATATTATTAAATTAAATCCTCACAACAATCTCTGAGGTGTTATCTCTGTTTTAAGATGAGAAAACAGAGTCTCAGGGAGGTTAAGCAACTTGGTGAAGGCCATACAGCTCGGATTTTAATCCTGTGTAATCTGACCCCAGAGCCCTTCTTGATCTCTTAAAAGATAATAATTAACATTTGTAAAATACTCAGGGCAAATCTAGGTTTGGTGGGGCTTGAAGCTTGTACAATTTGGAGCCCTCTTTAAAGAAAAGAATGAAGAATTAGGAGTTTAAAATTAGATTCAGAGCCTGGGGAGGACTCAGGCCAAACTTTACAGTTGATGAATCATTTCACATGCAGACTCTCATTTCATCTACCCAGCCTCCCTGTAAGGTCAGGATTATCATCCTCATCTGACATACTGGGGAACCTGGATGTCCAAGATCACACAGCTCCTGGGAGGCAGAGTTAGGACTGGAAGCCACTGATCACAGCTGTGTCTTTAAGAGACAAACTCCAGGCAGATGTTGGTCAGACAGCCAGATGTGTCTAAACAAAAGCAGCTGCGATAACAGTGTTTTCTCTGTGGTGTTCGGGGAAAGGACACTCATCCCTGACTGCCCTTAGGAGAGCACTTGTTCCCAAGCAGTGACTCCCAGAGCCACCCAACCGCTCTCCATGGTCTACCCATGACCCAGAGCCTCCAGGGGTTAGGAGATATCTGGGGGTCAAGGAACAGGAAGCCAACTCAGCTGGGAGTTTAATCATTGCCTTGACCTCCTTCTGGCTGGCTGCTAGGTCCTCTACCTTATTCTAGGAGAAGGAGAGGCAGCCAGAGTCAAGAGCTCGGGGGCCAGGATGGACGTTCAGTGTGGGCAGGGGTCCCACCTGAAACAGCTTTAAGAGTCCTGTGACGACACAGAAGGGCGCCATGCCAGGCGTTATCTCTTTGGCCATCCCCAACAGGAGTGACCAGCGTGTCCGATCCTGGGGCTGGGAGCAGGAAAGGGATGAGGGATGGTTTTTCCACTGCAGGGGAGTGTCCACAGGGAATGTGGGAGCCGGGGCCTGGTTGGGGGAGGGCCCAAGCTGAGGAATGTGGGGGAGTGTGACACAGATCTGGGGGAGATGGAACGGTAGAGGGAGACTTGGAGACTGGAAGGGCCTCTGGGCTGGGAGAGCTGCAGAAAGAGTAATCCCAACTTCATGCCACATGTCCGAAGTGCTCTGGTTTCAGTGACATCATCCACAGCCTCGTCTCATCCCCCAGTTGACTTCATCACGTTAACTGTTCCTCACGGAGAAGGGACCCACCTAGACATGTAGACACAGAAAGAGAAACAAGGGCATGTGAATAACATGTGTGATGAGGCGTCTGAGTCCTGTTTTTAATGTTTGACTGCTGACAGCTTTTAAGCTGTCACCTCTCCCTCTGCCCCTTGTGCCCCACACCTGGGCAAGATGATGAAAAAGCATGGGTGCTATGCTCCCTCCTTTGGAGTTCATGGGAGAGTTGAACCATGCAAACCCTTCCCGCACAAATGCTCACCCTGACCTCACTCCCTAACCACAGTAAAAATCTCCTTTCTTGGCTCTCTCAAGCTATTTCAGACCTGCTTGAGAGGCCTGCTATGCTCCCCTAGAGACCTCAGCTATGTAAATAATAAGACTTTTCATTCTCTCTTGATGTTGCATGTGGCGTCATCAGTCTTGACATTGAACTAAACCTTGGATGGGGTCCATCTGTCTCTGCATGAGTGCAACAACATGCAACTGTAGGTTCTGCTGTAGGGTCAGGGAGGCTTCCTGGAGGAGGAGTATCTGGACACGGGAGAAGGAAGGGACTAGCAAGAGGGAGAGAAGAAAGCAGAAAAATTGGGGTCTGGTTTGGGGTGAAGTGTTTTCCCGTCACAAAAATGACACTGAAATTCTATAAAGGCACTTTCCATGTATTCCGTGCTTGCTGTGTTTCTACCAGCCTTCCTCTGCCTGCGTACCCCCACACACCCTGTCTTGCTCTCCCAGAGCCCAGATCACACCACTTGCTCACTCATGTTTTACAGGAAGTTCAGTGAGTGGACGTGATGTTCACAGGCAGTTAGAGGAGAGAGGGTGATAGGGTGGAATTGTGGTGCTGTGGGGGCTGCATGCAGGCTACTTTCTGCTCTTTCACCTTGGGCAAGTGACTCTCCTCCTCCAGGCCTCGATTTCTTCATCTGTGAAAAGAAAGGGCTGTAGAAAATTCCTCATTATTCCTCTACCAGGTATCCTTTGTGCCCCAAGTCTCCTAATATTTGTTGAACTAAGTGGACCAAATCTCTGCTGTTGAACTAAGACTCAGGTCTCTATCTCTGACTTGAATTGAAAATGCAAATAACTGGAGAAAGAGGGAGGAGCTGTGAAGCTTGAATGGGTTTATCAGATTTCCTTTCTCCAGTGACCCAGATACAGAGGAGCGGTGGGTGGGGCAGGAGCCAGTCCCCGCAACTTCTCTAGCTCGGAATCTGTCAGCCTCAGACATTCACTGACAACCTACTATGTAGTGGCACAGAGCTGAGAACCCCCAGAGGTGTCAGATATGAACCAGAGCATCTCCCAGAGGCTAGGGTTTTATCCTGGCCTCACATTCCGAAAGCTCTCAAATTTAAACAGGCTAAATCCACATTACATTGTATTTTAGGGCTGGTGCTTGTGGAGCAATGCGGTGGTGGTGGGGG